AGGGAAGGTCTAATTTCTATCCCTCCCATGAAAAAGGAAGATATTTAGAAGTATTTAATGATTTGGTTCAGAATGACCTTGACAAAATTCAATGGAAACATAAAGATTCTAAATGTAATTTAACAAATAAAGAAAGACAAGCTCTAAATACATTAAAAAAGAATTATAATTTGGTTATAAAAGAGGCCGATAAAGGAGGTGGAACGGTCATCATGAGTAGGGAATATTATATGCAAGAAGCTTACCGAATTTTGGGAGATGAGTCTACATATAAAAAGCTTGCTAATGATCCCACAAAACCTTTTTTGGAAGATTTGAGATCTTTACTCCAGAAGGGTTTGGATCAAGCTATTATTTCATCAAAGGAATTTCAGTATATTTTTAATCCCTTTTGTAAAACAGCCATTTTTTACTTTCTCCCCAAAATCCACAAATGTGTAACGACCCCCCCAGGTCGACCCATTATCAGTGGAATTAACTCTTTATCGTGTAATCTCTCTGAATACGTGGATTTCTTTTTAAAACCTTATGTATCTTTGTGTCCCTCTTTTGTTAAAGACACTACTCATATTCTTCAAAGTTTACAGTCATTCATTTGGAAACCATCTTATATATTAGCTACAGTGGACGTTACCTCCCTGTACTCCAATATCCCTCATGTTAAGGGTTTGGAGGTTATCAGAGACGTTCTAGTCCTACAACATGTTTTAAACTCCACTCAGATCGATTTTTTGGTGTCCTGTATCCAATTCGTTTTGGAAAAGAAATTTTTTTTGGTTTGATACTGCTTTTTTCTTGCAGCGATGTGGCGTCGCCATGGGGACAAGGTTCGCCCCAAGTTTCGCCAACTTATATGTATCCCATTGGGAAGCCTCATGCATCCAGCTGGGTCCTTGTATGGGGGGGAGCCTTGTCCTATGGCGGCGTTACATCGATGATATACTTATTATTTGGGAAGGAGATGTCCGGAGTCTAGAAAGATTTATTGAAAGCATTAATTCTAACGACTATAATCTTAATTTTACCCATAACATTCATCCGTTTACCATAGATTTTCTGGATCTTACTTTATATGTAGAAAATGACACTTTGAACACAAAAACCTTCTTTAAAAAAACTGATTGCAATACAGCAATAAAAAAGACTAGTTTACACCATCCAGTATGGCTAAACAATATCCCTAAAAGCCAAATAACCCGAATGAGAAGAAACTGTTCTAGTGTTCAAATGTTTGAAGAGCAATCAAAATTAATACAAAACAGATATGTGGAAAAGGGGTACAATATAGACCATATACAAGATGATATTGAAAAAATAAAGGACAAAGATCGTACAGAATTTTTGAAAGATAAAAATTTAAACCATAAAAATAAAAACAAAAATAACTATAGTTACAAAGATTTTGCATTTATTACCAAGTACAGTTCTGAAGCCAAGAAAATTGAAAAAATCCTTAAAAAACACTGGGCCATTTTAAAAAGAGATGATGTTTTAGGAGATAAAATTCCAGAAAGGCCTGTAGTTATATATAGGAAGGCAGACACCCTTAAAAATAAATTGGCACCTAGTTTGTTACCAAAATTGATTAAAGGTCCAAATTCAAAAAACTTTTTACAATCCACAAAAACTCCAGGTTTTCATAAATGTGGAACATGTTCCACATGTGTTTATCAAAAAAGAAAATCTACCTTTTTTGTGGGATTTTATACTAATCAAACATATACTATTAAGAAATTTATCCATTGTACATCCACATATGTGATTTACCTTTTACAATGTGGTTGCGGAGCTCAGTATGTGGGAAGAACCACCAGGACCCTACACACTAGACTCCGGGAACATTTTAATAATATTAGAAACCAAAAAACGGAACATAGTGTCCCAAATCATTGTAATTCTTGTCATCTATTTGATTGGTCTACCTTTATTGCTATTGGTATAGATCAAGTAACTCCCCATTGGAGAGGGGGAAATAGAACTAATGATCTAGCCAAAAAAGAGGCCTTTTGGATTTACACACTTAATACCCTTAAGAGAGGTCTTAATCAAGATATTGATCTGGCGGGCCTTTTGTAATTATTTATGTAACATGTTTGAATTTTTATATTTTGTTTTTTTCTTTATCTATATATATTTTTATAGGTATGGTTTTTAGATATGGATGTTTATTTAGATAGGGACTTGGGTATATATATGCTCTATTCTTCTATATACATATACATGTTTATACTATGTATTTTTTAGTTTGTGTTTTATAGAGTACTTGGATGTCATCCATATTTTGATAGACATATTATTGTTTTTATATTTCTTTGTTTTGTATATTATGTAACTAGATGGTCATTGGTATTTTCTCCCTGTGTCCCACTCTGGGACGTTCGGTGCCCCAAATGCAACTTGTGCGCCTGGGTCTGTCCGTGCGTTCCACGGTGGAACGCGGAAGTGTCATGGCATAGAGCCGCACGTTATGAACGCCATGCGTTCCAACTTGGAACGCGGAAATGAATACATCTAGCCGCACGTTATGGACGCTATGCGTTCCAGCTTGGAACGCGGAAATAAAAACATCTTGTTACATCCACCGGAAGTGATCACGATGGATGTCCAATCAAAAACCGAGAAGTCCGAACCCGGAAGTGAATGAATTTTCCGTGGCAATTTCAAATGGTGAAGGCTATATAAAGAAAACAGAATTTTTAATTCTTTATCCCTGAAGAAGTCTTTCAAAAGACGAAACGCGTTGGATATTTTGCTACAGAGAGACTCCTTCTCCTGGGTACCACTTGTTAGTGGTGATATGCTGCTATGAATTTTATTTGATGTAAGTGCATTTTGTATAAATAAATTAATTTTTATCTACAATACTGCTCTATATACCTCTTTTTCTTCTGAGGATTGAGCGTCTTGAATTTGCACCTTTGGTCCGTATATACAAGCTTCCTAAGAGAAGAACCCTTTATCCACATACCCTATGGAAGGGAGACAAGTTCAGATCTACAGTTTGGTCCTGTAAGTTCTCTACCTCCGGGAGTGTATTATACATTGACTGTACATGCTTCACTATTGTGTGATTTTTCTTATATTTTAGATCTTGTGAAGGAAGTTTCTTGTATTATCTACAGGTTGTATATATTTTTTGTGCTACCCCTTTAATCTATACTAGTATTTTATACAGTATAGATTTACTTTTTTGTTCATATTATATTGGTGTATGTGAGGTACACTGTTGGGTGTTTGGCACCCAAGAAGGAAGGCTATATAATCCAATTACACCATAAAGGCATACCATTTCTTAAAGAAGACATAAGGTAATTCAAAAGGCATATTTTGAACATTAGCGTGGGATCATTTTTCCGCTAGCTTGTACCAAGTGTAGTGGTAATGAGCATTTTTTTAATGTAATTTTTTTACTTTGTAAAACTTTTTTTACTTTGTAAAACCCGTTTTTAAACTTTTTTTACTTATTAAATGTTTTACACTTTCTTAACTTTTTTTACACTTTAACATTTTTTTACTTTTCTTTTACCGTTAACCCCTAACTAGCAGTAAGCAGCACTACCAGTAAATTCCCCCCTTTCCCATAACTCCCACCCACTCCAGCTAGCAAAATATATATAATTATAAAACATTTAAATTAATTAAATAAATCAAAAGTTAATCCTCAAGGGTTAAAATAAATTAGATTACAGTATAATACTGTGATCTGTATTTTGATCACTGTAGGCAGTGATCAACCGGCAGGGTAGGGGTTAATTTTTATTTAGACTGGGTAAAGGGGGGTGGTATTTTTTTTTTTTTTTACTTAAATATTACAAAAACATTTTTTTAATTTTTTTTTTTTTTACCTTTTTAAAGGTTATTTTAAAACTTTTTTTAACGTTAACCCCTAGTTAGCCTAACACCAAATTCCCCAATTCCCCACTAACTTCCACCAATCCCAGCTAGCTAAATATATAATTTTTAAATATTAAATTAATTAATAAAATAAATTTAACCCCCTGAGGGTTAAAAAAAAATATTAACCCTCAGGGGTTAAAAAAAAATCAGACAACATTAAAATGTATACCCTGCCAATTGATCACTGTAGTCAGTGATCAATTGGCAGGGAAGGGGTTAATTTTATTAAAGCAGGGGAAAGGGGGGGTGGGATTTAACTTTATTTAAATTTTTTTACACAGGGAGAAGATCAGCAGCACTGATCTGTCTCCCTGCACTTCACACAGAACCCGGAAGTGCAGGGAGGCGGAGGGTAAGTATACTGAGCACATGTGCTCGCTCTGACAGCCTGTCAGAGCGAGCACCAGTGCTGGGGCAGCCCGATCGGGTGCTCCCGGTCTGCCTCTAATACAGAGGCAGACTGGAGCACCGTTAACCCCGCGATCGCCGCAATCATGGCGATCTGGGGTTAACTTTAGTAAATGACGGAAATTTTCCGTCAGCGGTCCTTAACTGAAGGACAAGGTTGACGGAAAATTTCTGTCTGCGGTCGGGAAGGGGTTAATACAATCATGTTTTAGGCCATCAGCAAAAACAAACTGAAAATCAATGTATTTGGCTTCTGCTGAACAGTGCATCGAGGTCAGGCAGCTAGTGTCACTATTTCTTAAACCATCCAGAAAAGGTTTTACTGGAGTCCTCAGCAAAGATTCACAGCGGAAAATAAAATAAAGCCTAATTTCTATTTAATTAACTCAATGGTGAAATAATATAGCTTAATTCTTAATAAATCCCTGGTGTAATAAAAATATGACTTAATTGTTAATAAATTCATTGTGTAATGAAATTGCAGAATAACGTGGTATAACGCTGTTATGTGCAGAAGTCAGGCTTCACATTTAATGCGATAAACTCACCTAACTAATCATTAATTTATATAGCTGGAATAAATACAAATGTTTGATAATAATAGACAACTCTGTAGTATTTAGATATTTCATATAATTTATGTTTTATATAAAAAAAAAAGAACATTTCATATTACAAATTAGTTTTACATAAATGTCATGCATAAGTGCAATTGTAAATAATATATTTGTCCCGTGAGTTGTTTCAGTCAGCTGAGAAAAAATATTCTCATTCTCTATAGAACAGGTACAGACAGATAAAGAGTATATTTTATGTGTATAGCATAATAAAATCTGAATATATGTTTTTTGGGGGTGGGGAGCGGTTGTTTGGATTTCTTTGTCCCATGTAAAATTAGGACTAATTTATATTATGGATGTTATGTTCCATCGATCCGAAGGTTTAAAAAGGCTATGACAAAATAGTCATTTATTGCTATTGCTTATGCCAGTGGTTCTTAACTAATGGCATGGGACCCAGTCTTGGGCCATCGTACAATTTGTGAAGACAATTTGTTAGAACACGTGTGATACAGACAGCTTAAACATTCAGAAGAGTGTCATAAAGGTATTTTACTTTTTTTTAATATACCATATTGAAAAAACATTGAGCTAATTTTAACATGTGCTATTGCAGCAACAAAGAGATACCTTAATAAGAGACAATGTAAAATTGTCAATACATTTACAAGTCATATTAAGATCGTGGCAGGTGTTCTGCTTGATGCACTAACTGACCTTGATTCAGAAATGGTCATTAATAATGTCTTGGTGTGGTATATACTTTTGTATCATTTAATTAATGAACTAAAATTGTGAAATAATTTGACTATTCAGTAATCATATAATGAGTATATCAGGGAGCCGGGACCCTGGATATCTTCTTCCTTTCCATATTCCTATGGGGCATTAGAGAGCACTCTCAGTCAAGAAATTAGTAGGATTTATTTACATTCTATCATACTAAAACAAATAAATAAAACCAATACTGTATCATAAGGATTCAATCATTTCTAGTGGGATTGGGTTGGTGTGACCATTAATTTGTGCAGTTTGTATATCAGAAGTTTTCATTTCTACTTTGGTCTTTTGATGATCATATTTGGCCTCTTTGAACAAGGGCCGTAGTTTGCCACAAGAGAAAAACAGAGTGAATCGCAGGAAGCACGCAATGCAACTCGCAGAAATAAGGACAACTGTAAAAAAAGGAATGAGAAAGCCTCTTAACACACAATGTCAAAGTTTTCCATATCAAACATCAATTAGTAAGATGCATCCTCCAAAATGTATATTTACAAGCTACATCAGGGCTGTCCAACCTGCGGCCCCCCAGATGTTGCTGAACTACAACTCCCATGTTTCTCTGGCTATCTGTTTAATTGAAAGAATCATGGGAGTTGTAGTTCAGCAACATCTGGGGGTCCTCAGGTTGGACAGGCCTGAGCTACATAAAGCAATAAAAAAAAAATGAAGATCTAACAAGTTTTGAAAACTTCCATGGCTGTCTGTGATAGTTACTTCTCTTGATATGGGTATATGTGTGACCTATTGATCTTAGCCCAGGCTCACATAAATGGCAATACCCTGTAAATAAATACATCAGTGATCTTAGGGAAATGAGCTACATTCTACACAGCAACCCACCTGAATGTGAACTAGACATAGCAACTCAGCAGAATGTACGTACGACATTAGCTGTTCATGGGAGTATAAACTGCATGCATGCACCACTCACTGGATTGTGAGATATGTATATCAACAGCTCAAATAAACATGTACTACATAGAGCGGCAACTGTGTGTGGCTTGTGAGCTTCAGGCCGTGCACAAATACATGAACAGCACACTGGAATGCAAGATGTACACTGGAATAGTTCATTATATATATATATATACACACACACACTCATATTGAAACAGCACATGGGAGCACATTGTGTGCTATATAGATTAACAGTTCATGGGAGTGTGAAATAAATAAGATCATTTATATAGCGCCAACATATTCTGCAGTCATTTAAAATTATAGAAAAGGGGTATTTGAAGGGGAAGAAGGTCCTGTTCAAACAAGCTTACAATCTATGAGGGTTTGAGGTGGGCAGATATATATCATTTGGTGTCTTGCATAAGGACACTTACTGATAAGGTTGTATGTAGCTCTCTATGTTTTTATCTTACGTGGTACTGTCAGGATCCTATCCTGACAAACAAGACTTTTTATTCCGTTTATTCTGTTCCTTTAAAACCAAGTTACTGCACAGATTATGTTTTGCCTTCATCATCCTCACCTGCCTGGACTAATTAAGAAGCTACAAAAGGCTACACCCAACTCACCAGATTGCCTTTACAATGAAGTTGATGCTCATCTTGTAAGACTTCTGTTCCTGGCTCCTGTTAACCTACACCTTTATCCTGCCAACCTGCTCCAGCCCAGCCTAAACTAAGTTTTTATCCTGACTTATACCAACCCGCATAACCCTATCTGGACATTGCTGCTAACTCCTATTACAAGGTGTTATTTTCCTTTATCAGTCTTCCACCAACAGGGGGGCTGATTCACTAAGTTATGCTTTTCCCATTTTCCTGAAACCTTGTCCTGTTCCAATCTTTTCTTTTATACTTGACCCTCTATATTCAACCTATTCTTGTATCTATAGGTTCTCTTATCTTTCTACAACCTGTTTATAATTTATATAGGGCATGTTGCCTAAACCTTTGTTTCTCTTATTTTCCTTCTCCCTATTCTTTCACTTATAAGATATCCTGTTGTTTTCTATTATGTCCGAACTCTCCAATAAAGCCTCTAATGTTAACTGGGCTTCAAGCTTGGGCCTCCTAGTTCTAAAGCAATGTTACTACTGCTCTAACCAGATGAATACACATGCACGCACACACACCCTCCACCCCTTCCCGCAGACCTGCTCTAGGATTACAGATAAGTAAACTTTTGTTAAATAAATAACAATTTTCCTATAGACATAAAAGGTAGAATACAAATTCCATATATAATGTTTTGCATATACCGGTCACGTCACTACGCAAACATCATCACAAACACGTCTTGATGTCACGTGACCCCTCTACTCTTCCAGGTTCCACTCCGTCTTGAGAACTATTCTCACTGTATTGGTAAGCCACTTATTGGCATAAGTTGTCAGCACAGTTCCAATGCTCAACCCAGTCACCCCTTGCTACAGAATTGGTCTGCATGTTTTGGCCATGCAAGAGAAAAAAACATAATAAACAGAATGGGCCCGTATGCTAATCATTATAAACTATTTTACAGTTGTGGCTTACCTTTTAATACATCGGTTTCAGCCGTTGATGAAGTTTCTTTTCCAAAATAGACACCGACAGTAGCAACAATTGCCACAGGGTAAATTGTAAAGGTGTATCGTAAATATTTTTCAAAAACAAATGTTTCCATCAAAAACCTAAAAAAAGAAAAAACCCAAAAGGATGTCATATTGGTAATGTATTTAAATAGACATTCTTATTCACATTTTATACTTGATCAATCCCTAAAGCCAGTGATCAGTCCACTTGGGAGTGTATACTTTGACCAGAGATATTTATTCCTGGTAAACAAATTTTCTCATAGATCTTGTTGGAAGAGTTGGCATTTTTTAGTTAATTGATATTTTTTTTAAACCCTGCTGGTCAGATTTGGTAGCTGGTAAATATATATAATCAAATCCACATGAAATGACCATTTGGACAGATTACCTACAATCAAATAGATTATGCATTACTAACAAGGTTATTTACTAAAATGTGACTTGAGAATTTCAAATTCACTTGATTTCTCTTTGAAATTCATGCTTTTGTATTGCAAACTGTAATGCAACAATAGGAGATTTTTGTAATGGGAGGTTTTAGAAAGCAGACAGGTACCAGGGCCATTAGCGCATAACTTGTTAGTGTACCTTTAAAAGGAGGTCAGTAGCAACTGTGATATTATGTTTGCAAATTATCCTGAGCAATTTTATTCAACTGTGGAACACATTCAACCTTAGTTAACACCTATTTATATCACTACTAAGTAACCAAGTATATTTTAGTGTTTCCTGTGAATGTAGGTGCAGAAAACAAAAACAACAACAACAAAAAAAATTAACTTCTTCTCAGCTTTACAATTAAGGTATTTGGCAAATAAATGATAAAATAACTGCACAATACAGAAATGAAAACTGCACTTCTGGGACTTGACCACCAGAGGACAGCATAATGCTTTTAATATTCCATCTAATGGCAGACCATTGCAGTGCTTTCTTAATGTGTTTATTGATAGGCTATTCTAAAAAAAGTTCCCAATTAACATTATGATCAAAATCATATGACAACTCATTTAACAAGATATATTTGAAGCCTTTCCAAACCTCTAAAGGTTTCTCATTATTTTTTATTTTGGTTTATTACATCTATGCTAACTATAAGAAAGTTATATGATTACTAAAAAAAATCACACATATACGAAATGAAACCACACTATTAATAGAAATGAGTTTTCCTTGTTTCTTAGCTGAGCTAATTGTAAGTGGTTGTCAGGTTGATGCTGGCAGTGGATTTTGGCACCGTTTAAACAACAACAATTAAATTGATAATTAAATAACATTAACATCAAGTGCCAAAGATATTACATTAAGTGCTTCAACATGCTTAATATTACATTCTGAGGCAGGTACAGAAGAACAAGCGATGTTCAGTTTGTTTGTCCAACTTAATCGTTCCAATAGTTGGTAGAATTTCAAAAAGAGTACAGGGTTACACACAAAGTGTGAATGACCTGGAATTTAAAGCACTATAACATACAAATCCTTAGTGGTTATGGTGCCAGCAGTGTTGTGAAGTCCACCGAAAATAATGTGTCAAACCATTTAAAACGGTTTTGAAAACTTACCTGTGTCTCACTCCCGCTTCCCTGCAAACGTTACAAGTTATATAACCTATTGCCAAAATGTCAATATATTAAACAAACATTTTGCAAATGGACGGGGGTCCAATCATCTTGGACAGCCCCCTTTGACAGGCAGAAGTCAAAGGCCTGATCGCCATAGTGACTGTTGCAATCATGGTAGTTCTACAACTGTATATACATTATATAATGATATCTAAAGGGTCTTTTCCATTTGTGGCAAGCGTTCATGGAAAGTATTCTGTTTGTCTTTGTGAGTTAATAGGTGGTTTTCCAGAATCCCCATCAAGCAAGCTGGTAAGGCATACACTTTCTTACTTCATCTACCATTACCATAGGTATTATAAAATTGTCTCATCACCCCTCTCTAGCTGGTGATTATCCTGACACTACTATTATACAATATACAGTTACAATCCCCACAAACATTTAGGACAATGGTATTCCAAAATGACGGCTAAGTCTACTCTTGGTTTTCTCTGTTCTACTGAATTCCTGCATACTGATTACAAAGCATTCCACTTCATAGTGGCACAATTTTAGACGCAGTTCCTTTACGGTAACAATGGTATTTCCTCACCACAGCATTTTATCCTAATGGGCATCATTCTTCTAGATTGTAAGCTCATGGGCTGTCCTACACAGTGGTTTGTAGGAGGATTAAAGCCAGGGGCATTGTCTACTTCTTTTTTATCTTTGTGTCTAGTTCTATATCCCTCTGTTTTGAAGCCACCCGTGCATTTTACATAATTTGTTCAGTGCTATGGATATTAGTGCTATAGAAGAACTGTACAATGAATAAACACAAAAAAAATATTCTGCTAAATGCCTCAATTAAATACAGAATAAAAAAAGCATAATCAGCGTTTTGCTCCGTAATAAACAAACTTTTATACAAATAATCAGTTCATTTTATGTTACAAAATTAGAGCATTAACAAACAAACTTACCAGAATACCAGGGCAAAGAAAACCAGGCAAAGAACCATACTGCTGACCCCAGGGTCTCTTATAGGGACATAATATTTTAACACCATTCCAAAATTAATAATGGTAGCAATTGAAGTCCATGTAGCATACATTGCCAATCCATTATGAACCTAAAGTAGAAATAATACAAATTGACAATATTTAAATAAAGTGGTTCTTACCTTTAATTTATTTTGGCTTGAGTAGGGCAACAATGTTCCAGTTTGGTGCATTTGTTATATCCTTTTACGTAACATGAAAACCATCTATGTGCATGCATTCACAGACATAATGTCATTGCGTAAGTCTGTCAGTACCAATGGTGTGTGTGTGTGTGTGTGTGTGTGTGTATATATATATATATATATATATATATATATATATATATAATTATTATTATTTTTTTTTTTTTCCTAATTCCAGTCCAGAAAAGTTTAAGAATATAAGTGGAGCCTAGAAACCTATTGATTGCACTTTACCGACTAGGTCGCTAGTTGATATTTTTTTTTGTAGAGGTGGCCTGCCTGTCATTGCAGTCTCATATTTTATAAAATGCAAGTTTTATAATGGAAATATAAATATTGCCAACAAACCAAAAATTGGACATTGCTTAAACTCACCAAAATTCTTGTGCACCATAGGTCTACCCGATAATTTTCTGCCAATATTTTTCTATGCCTGTAGCATCTACTGCATGATATTTGAAGCATCATAAAGCACGTGATTGGAATTAAGACCAAGAAAACATTGGAAAATATAAGATACCTACAAAAACAAATCAAAACAAGGTATTTAGACAAACTTTATACAGCTACAGTGAGGGAAAAAAAGTATTTGATCCCCTGCTGATTTTGAATGTTTGCCCACTGACAAAGAAATGATCAGTCATCTTAATGGCAGGTGTATTTTAAAAGTGAGAGACAGAATAACAAAAAAAATAAATAAATAAGATAAGCATATCAAAACGTTGTAAATTGATTTGCATGTCAATGAGTGAAATAAATATTTGATCCCCTATCAATAAGCAGGATTTCTGGCTCCCAGATGTATTTTATTCAGCACTCTCTTAAAGGATGTGCTCCTAATCTCAGCTTGTTACCTGTATAAAAGACACCTGTCCACAGAAGCAATCAATCAATCAATCAGATTTCAAATTCTCCACCATGGCCAAGACCACTGTTTAAGGATGTCAGTGACAAGATTGTAGACCTACACAAGGCTGGAATAGGCTACAGGACAAGCCAAACAGCTTGGTGAGAAGGTGACAACAGTTGGTGCAATTATTTGCGAATGGAAGAAACACAAAATAACTGTCAGTCTCCCTCGGTCTGGTGCCCCATGCAAGATCTCACCTCGTGGAGTTTCAATGATCATGAGAATGGTGAGAAGTCAGCCCAGAACTACACAGGAGGATCTTGTTAATGATCTCAAGGCAGCTGGAACCATAGTCAGCAAGAAAACAATTGGTAACACACTATGCCGTGAAGGACTGAAATCCTGCAGCGCTCGCAAGGTCCCCCTACTCAAAAAAGCACATGTACAAGTCCATCTAAAGTGTGCCAATGAACATCTGAATTATTCAGAGGAGAACTGGATGAACGTGTTGTGGTCAGATGAGACCAAAATTGAGTGCTTTAGAATCAACTCAACTCACCGTGTTTGGAGGAGGAGGAATGCTGCCTATGACCCCAAGAATACCATCCCCACCATCAAACACGGACAGGGCCACGTACCTTCAAATCTTGGGTGAAAACCTCCTTCCCAAACATCAGCCTCGAAACCTTAGTGACTTGGAGAGTTTCTGCAAAGAGGAGTGGGACAAAATCCCTCCTGAGATGTGTGCAAACCTGGTGGCCAACTACAAGAAACATCTGACCTCTGTGATTGCCAACAAGGGTTTTGCCACCAAGTACTAAGTCGAAGTTGTCAAATACTTATTTCATTCATTGACATGCAAATAAATTTATAACATTTTTGACATGCGTTTTTCTGGATTTATTTTTTGTTATTTTGTCTCTTACTGTTAAAATACTCCTACCATTAAATTATAGACTGATCATTTCTTTGTCATTGGGCAAACATTCAAAATCAGTAGGGGATCAAATACTTTTTTCCCTCACTGTACCAATGACAAGAGTTGATGTCAAATCTATGGTCAAAGCAAAAGTATTCATAGGAATTCTGGGCGACTGCAGGTTCGTATGCAATCCCAACTCTGAAATGTTAGGTGGACGAATCATGAAACCAATTAAATGGACAATGGGGGAAAAAAATTATGATTTAATATTTAAGGGATCCTAAATGCTGCTTATATTTACAGATCAAGTGAGAGTCTCCTCCTTTCCTTTCTGTTGGTTACTTCTTTTTACTTGATCTGTCAACCAAATAGCATGAAAATGAGCCTATATTTGCATTAGACTCACAAGCCCATTTTTGCATCATTTTCGTTTGTGTGGTTTTTGCAGACTTTTTTTGCATAGCATGGATGAAATACATCTGAACTGAAACGCCACATGGACAAATCCCAAATTGGCCAAAACTATTATTTGAGACGAACCACTTTGGACAAACCAAATTTCTATTGATGTGAAGTCTCTGCTCTTGGTCGAGACCAGAATGATGGAGCATGCAAGGTACACATATATTATATTTAAAGACATATTTATTTCTTCCTTGCTCCCTCCCTCTGTAGCTGACATAAGAAAATAGATAATTCTTCAACAAACTAATCCTAATGTGCTGTCTGCATCTCATTTTGCTAATAAGAATCAGCCTGAAAACATTATTTTCTAAGGAAAAAACAACAACTTACTCTTTGTCCCAAATGAATAGCCATCCAATGTTAATTGAATTGTTCAGTATCCACATAGTAAAAAATTCAGGAGGGTGGATTCCTAGTTTTGCATAAATATATTCATCTTTACTTCTGGGAAAGCAAACAAAGAAAACATGCATATTATATCTACAGACGTGTGTTATTTAGCTTCTAGTTGTACCCCTAGGTAAGTAAATATAATAGTATTTACATTTTTATTTAAATGGGCCAAATGGTTCTTATCTGCCGTCCCATCCTATGTAATGGGAGGTTCCTTTGAAATAAAAGCCTACTTTCTCAGTATGAAAAGTGATAGTCAGGGCCATACGTTGACCGAGTCATGCTTGGCTTTTTGTTTGCATCATGGCTTCCCATCACTAGTGGGTATGTTGCAAAAGTAAATCGAGTATAATAAACCGCATGCAATCTAATCTATAATCACCAGGAGCATTTAAAAAAATGAAATGTGTAAAAAGGGATCAGGAAAAAGCATTGATTTCCATTTAATGTACAGAACTCCACAAAAAGCTTAATAATTTAGCAGACTAGAACCCGTTATTTGCTGCAACCTTAACAGTATAATAAATACACTTGGCTGATTTCAATATCTTATTGTATCTTCTGATCATCATTTCTAATCGCAAGAAAGTACCAGTTTCACTCTAAATGTCTATTGAGCTCTTGCAGAGAGCTCATATTGTAAAACTTGGGCACTTGAACTTTGCAATATTATATTTCCACTTTTTTATTAATTTAACTTGAGAAACATATTTACTGCACTCTAGAACATACACAGTGTTTGCTCTAACAGTACTTTTAGCAGTGACATTTTATATATGATTGAATACAGCTATCAAGTTCTGCTATATGGCAGTTTTCTGAACAGAATATAAAACGCTACAGTGCATTGGACTACATAAAGTACAACATCAAATATATTTGATGTTCTATTGCACCAACTAAAGTAAGAAAAGGAATATATCAGAGCAAAATACACCCTTCTTATTTGAAATCAGACATTTTAAATTGTAGTAAAATGGTGAAAATTTATATATGGTTTTGCTTGATGTGCATTTCTAAATAAAATAAGTGGTTTCTGCATTGCACCGAATTCTGTGTTGCATTGATTTATTATTAGTAATTGTCCATCCTCACGACGAAGCATTAAATACAAAAGATATCCTCTTCTGTAATTGGAAACTAGTTAAATATAATTGTATCGATAGAGGATAACTGATTGTTACATAAGCTGTAACTCAGAAGGGAGCACAGCAGCAAAGTACACTTAGCTGCCACATTTTCTTTTTGAAATTGCTCTTCCCTATGAACCAAATAAAAGGTGCTAACTACATAGAATCGTAATCACTGTAACTATGTAAAATATTAAAGGGACACTATAGGCACCCAGACCACCTCAACTTATTGAAGTGGCCTGGGCACAGTGTCCCAGGTCCCTTAACCCTGTAAAGGTAATTATTGCAGTTTTTAATAAACGGTAATAATTAATTTAAGGGCTAACTTCACCTCTAATGGTTGTCTACAAGACAGTCACTAGAGGGACTACCGAGTCACTAGGCGACTTTTGTTTGCCTAACTAATGCCGGACATCCTCATGCGATGCACGAGGACATCCAGCGTCGCTCGAAACCCCATAGGAAAGCATTATAGAATGCATTCCTACAGAGGAAGTAGTAATGCGAATGCGGCCATAATTTTGAAACGTTGCACATACAGAGAGATCCGAGGTTGCCGATGGAGGTGTAATTACACCTCTGACAGTGTTATGCCAGAACATAACGACAGCTCCAACTAATGTAAATTCACTGCATATTGGGCATCTGTCAGCACACATAGCATGCTGCCGACATGGCCCCCACATGCCGTTTAAGTGCTCCCTTCAGCCCATCCTCTGGGGTGTCCCTCCTGCAGTCAGAGGGAATGACCCTACCAGTGGAGACTCAGGTCGCAGAGAGAACTTGTCCTTAGCGTAGGATCACAGGTAGGGTTTTCCTTTTTATTTTTCATTTGAAGAGTGGGTGGTAGGTATGACAGAAAGGGGTTACTATACCAAAAGTCTAATGCTTCCTGTTTTTTGTTTGGAGTAACCCTTTAATACATCTGTCATTTGATGCAACTGCTCATAACATATAAACATTTTAGATATTATTCCTGATGACATGGCTCTGAAGGTTATCGACTAATCAGTCTTTGGGTCACATGTCTAAAATGATCACATGATATATCCAGACCAATTTGTGAGTAGTGACAAATTGATATAATAATAAATAAATAATTATATTATATAACAGTTACAATGGTTGTTTGCTAAAGTTGTCATTAACTCAATTCATTCAGGCAACTTCAATCTTAGGACAAAGTAGCGAAACAGGAAAATTCTCTAAATCAGCTGTATGTCTAGCTCACCTGTTTGGGTCTAAAATTATAATTCCTGGTGGATGGCTTAGATAAAATAGTATATGTATGTAGTTATGTATTTATTTATTTACCTTCTGAAGAGCGTGGAGAGGACATACACAATCCAAAGTCCATTCCAAATGTAAATTACAGACCAAATAGAAAACGTCCAGCCCGCAGGAGTTACATCCAGAGGGTACTTATCAGAAACATTACTGGCTATTGTATTGAATAATCCTAATATAAAGACAGAATTACACTTTTTTTGTAAAATAAAATTTTATTGTGTACTGCATAGTTAAACAAATGGCATTGAAACAATTATTATTTATACAGTTATTTTGATGAAACAGCTTTATGATTTCAAGTGATAACAAACATTCCTTATCTTTGCAAAGAATATTAGTTCTACCATAACATATTTTGAATTGGTTCTCTAATTATGGGCCCAAATGGCCTATTTATAAGAAAAATCAGATTCCCCACCATCCCCCACCTATTCCAATTTGCAATTCCCTTTGCCAATTCTCTACAATTCTCAATTTAGTGAATACAATCCTTACATTTTAGTGTTGCCAGCTATTTACTATCTGGCTTTCAATAGACGTAAAAGTATGTCCACTGAACTGTAATTTGCGTTAACTGGCAAGTTACAAAAAGTAGAATATAATCTACCAACCAGTAAGTTATGGCTAGTTGAGAATAACCTTGCAAAATTTAGTCACAATGGAAATATTTCCCAGCCTTGTTAGTTTGACCTATATATTTGCATCAAATTAGTAATTGAACAAAATAAAATTCAATATGGTTAACTTGAAGATAGCTTGCAGCTTGACAGTAAGGCTTACGTTTTGCTACTCTGCTGTCATATCACCATAATTTACCATTTGGAGAATTAAAATGTTTTAATGTATACAAGCATTTAACTCTGTAGTAATCAAATGCAGTAGTAGTTTCATACATGTCCTACAATTGTTTTGCTTTTTCACTTCCTGGTTTTACCTAGTTGCTTGCCCTAATTAGAGCCGACTAGAAACTGTTCCAGGAAATTAACAAAGTTACACAATGCATAAACATAGCACATTAAAAGGCAAAACACTTTAAAAGCATATCATTAATGTACACTATAGTAGAAATTGACTGTTAAAAGGCTTACAATGGACTTACCCCCTTTTCCAATAGCTGAAATAACATTGAATATTACAGTGCAAATGTAGGAGACCACGGAGAGGATGATGAGTGCACCGAGAAGCTTGTTATAGGCCGACATTGTATATGTGAAGAAAGTCTAATTCTGTAAAACTCTGGAATTGTTGATTGGACCTAAAATGCTGAATATCGGTTGCTGGCTTTTTATATACACAAGCTTACATCTCTCAGATACACACACACCGGTCTTATCTTTAAAACTTTGACCTCGAGTAGTAATGAGTCTTATGAAATCTCAACAATAAATGGAAAATAGTTTACTACGGGCAATAAGCCAAACTTGTGTAACAGAATTCATAAGGTCGATAATTGTCATCTTATGTAAAAAATGTCACACAGTTATTTACAAACTTAAGGATTCAAAGTGAATTTCAAATCTAAGGCAAAAGTAGCCAAATTGGCCTAGAGTATTTTTCCAGTTCAGCTCTTTTGACCTTCTTGCTTTGAATTCTCACTCTAGTGAATAACCCTTGACTTGTCTTGGACCTCATACTATACTGAAAACGTGACCATTCATGACTGTTGAGAAACAAATCTCTATATAATTAATGCTAACTCAATTTATGTCATGTTTCCAGTCATGGAATCTGGTGGCACTGGGACACCCCATTCCATATAGAGTGCATGGAATGCCTATGGAATTCCGTTCTTTACCTATTGACACCACAGCAGTGCATCTGTGTTGCTCTTAGTGGATATATATTTTGAATTAAGGCAGCTTTTTTGAGGCACATTATGGAGAACTGGCTTGTATGTCTACAGCACCCTAAAATCTCTAGTAGGGTTATTTACTAGAGTAAGATCTGTCAAAAATTTTCATTTTAAGGCGAAAATTGCCAACCTGGAAGCATAGTTGACTTTTTCCACTTTTGATCTTGAATTTGAAATTCACTTTGAATTCACTTTAAGTTTTTGACAATTCTCACTTTTTAGTGAATAACCTTGGTAGAGCCCTTTGTATGTCTTGCAAATAAATTTTACTTATATGTCCACTTTTGGGCATGGGCCTCCTTTTAAATGAACACATACAGCACCATAACACTGAGTTGTGTTTCAAAGCTGTTGTAAACAGCTGACGCATACTCCAAGGAATCCATGTATAAAGTGGAATTATGAGGCAAAAATGTGGTCTTTGTTAAGCTAATTTGCATACGCCTACCCAGAATCCCCGTCAGTAGTTGGAGCACTTTGTAGGAAGAAGTGAGTGTAGGAAAAGCAAGTCTTATGGCTTGACTGGTGTGTGTATTTGTGTTTAACTATCCACTTAATTCAGGTGGAAGGGGTTTTCATCCACACTCCCCCCCACCACAACTGTGTTAGTATGTGTGTGTGTATATATATATATATATATATATATACACATATGTCAATGTGTGTATCTGTGTGTCGGGGGGGGTATATGTGTGTGTATGTGTCAGTGTGTATCTGTGTGTTAATATGTCTGTATCTCAGTGTAAGTATGTATGCATTTGGCATTGTATGTGTGTACCCTGTTTCCCTGAAAATAAGACATCCACCGAATGCTGGAAATATAAGCCCTGGGGATGCTGGAAATATAAGCAATGCCCCGAAAAATAAGCCCTAGTTGCTAGTTCGCTAATCTATGTCCAGGGGAGTTTCGCCGAACATAGATTCACGGGATTCCATGCCCTAGTGAGAATTCCACTGAACGTAGACCTACTTTCTAGCACATGCTTGCTACCATTTTCCTCAAAAATAAGACATGCCCCGAAAATAAGCCCTAGTGCGTTTTTCAGGAGGAAAATTTATATAAGACCCAGTCTTATTTTTGGGGAAAGACGGTATGTGCATACATCGAAGCAATCAATCACCAACACAACTTGCAAACACACTACTGCAAGCTAACACAAATATTACATACAAACACACCCCTGCATTCAAACTCCAAAATTATAGAAAAAACACACCCCTTCACTTAAACACCAATACTACACACAGTTGTATATCCGCATTTAAAAGCTAACATAACATACAAACACACCCCTGTATTAAAACACTACAATTATATACAAGCACCCCTTCAATCAAACACCAACACTACACATTAAAGCACACCTGCATTTAAAAGTCAAGACTACATAGAAACACACCCTGCATTCAAAAGCAAACACTACACACTACACTGCCTTTTGGCCACTCTTGCACGAGAGGGGGCCCAAAAAAAACCTCTTGCACCAGGGCCTTCTCTATATTAGTTCAGCCACTGCCACTCACATCTGGAGAGCGGTCAACACAGCTCAATAAATCATGCTCTTCGTATACAGAGCAATGACAGGCTATTTCAATATAGCACACACACTTTATTTACAAACAATAAAATCTATATGAAAAATTGTAAGAGTGACTAATGGCATTGCCTCCTCCACCTCAGGAGATCCCAATTGGTTCTCACCTAAGCTATCATTAGCATAGTCCGTAACAGTTTATTCTATTCACTAATCAATAGGTCTGTCCATAAAAAAAGTCCAGCCATTGTTAATATAACACAATATCGATGTAACGTGGCAGCCAAGGAAAATGGACTGGAGCATGCATGAACAATGACAATTTAACTGTACTAGTCAGTGGGGGCGCAAGACACCATTCAATGAGCATGTTTACTATTTAGCAGTCATATTCAAAATGACTTAGTGAGTAGAGCAACAAATCTGCATATAATTTAGCATTAAGCTTGAACTTTCCTCAACGGATCTATTTGGATGATTTAGAAGACTTTCAGGGACGATGCAATGAGTGCAGAGCAAATAAAAGTGGCACAAACACTTCAAAGATGATCAAGAATCAGTTTAAAGATTTGGCGCCCTACAATTTGTAGCTTGTTCCAAAACTAAAATCACGTTTCAAATGGAAGAGATTTCAGACCATCAATGAGATTCAAGTAAATACGACTATGCAGCTGATGGCGATTCCAACAAAGGATTTGCAGAGTATTTTGAACAGTGGAAAAGAACTGGAAGAATTGTGTGAGGTCCCAATATGCCTACTTTGAAAGGGACTAAGACATCATCCTATGTACATGTTTCTCGTGTCTTGTATTAATATTCTTCTCTATAAGTCTGGATAAGTTTCAGACAGACCTCGTACTACTGCTTTATAAAATTAGTCAATAAACTAGATCTCTTACTCATATTGTCTATTTTATCACCGTAAGAATTACAGCCCGCTTGAGAACAGTCCGTGTCCACTGCCTCTTCATCTGCACCTAGAAGCTCTTGCACTAAGCTAGGCTGGCAATGCAGGAAGGAGCTCATTGCCTGAAAGTGCTCAACTGATGCTCTCTGCCAATGTGCTGACTTTGAACTCCAGGGCTTGGCTCAGTGGGGCTCCTTGCAAGAACTTGTTGCTATAGAGGATGTGGAGGTGGATGTCGAGAGGCACCCAGGTAAGTTGTCAAACCATTCTTAAATGGTTTGGCAACAGACACTGAGGGTGGTTTTGCCAGTGCACTAAACCATTACCACGGGCTGTAGAGGTTATCTTGCTTGGAGTGTTTATTTAATTTGCAAAAATTATGAATTTGGTAAATAACATTCTCAGTGTTGGACATGATCATTCTTAGGAATGACACCAATCGTGTTTTGTCTGTCTGGAGTTGTTTGAAAGTGTAAAGTTGACCAAAAAAATTAGGTGGTTTCACACTAAGGGTTTCTGGTAAGAAAAAGATAAAATGAATGAATGAGGGAAGGCTGAGAAAGGAGCAAAACAGAAGAAATAAATTAGCCACTTTTATTGCTTAACTTAAATTCAACGTCAGTTTTGTGCATTTTACCTGCTTCGATTTATTTTTTAAACAATTGTTATTCTTTTACACTTTCAGATAGCCACATAAAAAACCCAGGTGTCCTAAACAGCAGAATCTTATGTAAACTTACAAAGTACTTATATAAGGCAAAGCCAGTGTTTCTATTATCATGCATCAAAGCTTGTGTAAGACAGTGTCAATGCTTGTGCAAGGCAACGTGAAAGCTTGTGTAATGTAACACTGCAGCTGTTAACTATTAAACTGAAGAGTAATAATAAAAATGTATTGGAAACACTGCTTCACAAAACACTTTATGTAACATAGTTGAATACACTAATAATAACTGCCATTTGAAGACGGGTGTTTTTTTTCTTAAGAAAACATTTGACTTTTGTATTAGTTCCAATGCAAATACCTTCTAAATAAACACACAGAGGTCAAGTTTCAAGAAAAAGTTTTAGATCAGAGTAAAATTTCTACAAAGGAATCGTTAGACATTTTGTCACTATTAGCAGTTTTTTTAGATGGCATTGACATTTTCTATGAATAAAAATATATATATATTTATATGTCCTGAGGGATGTCCCATACTGGGACTGAAACATCCACCTTTTTTGCATCACTGTATGCAATTTATCATGTGCACATTTTAACTATGAGGAAATAAATGCTACGTTTTAACCAAGACCGTGAGTGCAGACTACAATACTCTCTCTCTCTCTCTCTTTATCTATCTATATATCTATCTATATATATATATGTGTGTATATATATATGTATATATATTTGTGGTCAGAATTTAAATCGTATATGGAAATAGAGGACAGAGGGAAAGTTGGTAGTGATGTGCCAAAACAAACGTATGGGTAGGCCTGTAATAAAGAGGGAACACCAGAGGTAATGTGATGATGATAATAATAGTAAGTTATTAGAGGGAGTGGTGGGTGGGGTCGCTCAAACAGGCGACGGCATAGGTAAGCAGGGGGGTAGAGTTTATATAGGGAAATCTCCTCCCACAAATTCAGGCCTATGGCCTTTTACTTGTGGTCAGAACTTAAATTGTATATGGAAATAGAGGACGGGGGAAAGTTGGTAGTGGTGTGCCGAAACCAATGTACGCATAGGCCTCTAATAAAGAGGGCAAAAAGATATAGCAGAAAACACACTTTATTGCAAACTCATAATGCTAAACATTTAAAAGCTTTCCTGAGTTCTTTCTCAGGTTGCAGGATATAAGTGTTGTAGATGGAGGATTTCCATCTGCCCATTCTTTTAATGATATGCAATGGTATGTCTATACTAGAGACTGCAGAGGCTGCACCAATTCTGAAGGAGTGACCAGAAAATGAGGCGGGGTTGTGTCCCAGTGT